AAAACGTACGAAATTACGGTGCATAACTTTTCGTACGATTTCATACGAACTCAAAACGATAGAATTCTCTTAAGACAAAAAACTGAAGGCGCTGCAGACGATTCACTTCATTTGTCCTCCAGAGAAGGAAAAACATTTATGGAAAAGTCGAATTCCAGCTAGTAGCAGCAGCAGCAACCCAGACTGACAGCTCATTGGCTCATTTGGATCACGTGCAGCCTGGAGCCGGACGCTCCCCAGGGCTTTACCGTAATAACAGGAGAAGAGGCGCAAGGGAAGTTAGACACTGACGTCAGACAACATGCGGTAATTTATAAATGTTTTAAATCAGGTTGGGTCCGGATTAGCCAGCAGGTGGATCTGGATCCAGACCCCGGTCCGCTAATCCGTGACCTTTGACCTAGATGAACATCCTTAAAAGGTAAAAATCTATCTCAGCATGTTTCATGGAGCCTGATCCTGCTGTTCTGCAGCTTTAAGCAGCGCCCTGCAGTTTGACACTTACTGCTGGCGTTCTGCATTTCAGCTCGGTGGCGGTCGCATGGATCAGCTCACATCCTTCGCCGCCGACGGTAACTGTGGCGTTCTGACTGAGGCCAAAGCCTTTGACGGTCAGCACGGTGCCACCTGAGAAGAAAGACAGAATTAGGACTTTAAAGATCTTTGAGGTCAACGTTCAGGTCAACATTCAGAGTTCACCCCACCTGCAACACTTCCAGACTGCGGAGAGAAGGAGGCTACGATGAGCTGGTAGGTGAAGTAGAGGACGCCGTCGTCAGCGTAGCGCGCGTCGCCCAGAGAGGGGAAGTTCACAGACACCGGGTAGGTACCTGCACTGGCTCCGCCCACTCTGCACACCTGAGTGGAAGCTGGACACCAAATACCCGTTCACTTACTGGAATCAGACAGTTTATGCTGGTCTAAACTGGTTCTGAATGGATCAAACCCATTAACCTTACTGGAGATGATGTAGAAGAAAAACGAAAGACTTAAAAATTTTGCCTTTTAGGACGAGGATTTAAAAAGAATAAATGATCAACGTTTAATATATGACATATTAAAAAAAAACAAAAACTTTACAAATAAGTTTATATCTATTTATATATATATATAAAAAATCTTTATATAGATATAGACAGTGGTGGACAAAGTACTCAATATCAGTACTGGAGTGAAAGTATTGATACTCATCGTCACTTTTTAGTCAACTACAAGTTAAAGTTACTCAAAGTATTGAAGTACTCACGTTTGAAAATACTTAAGTATCAAATTATTTAATTGTTCTAATATTTGTACTTTTCCGTCTAATTTTCAGAGTAATTTTAAAGAAGCTGTAACTTTCAGAAACCACCTGATGTATTGATGCGTAGAACCACCTGATATAGATTCTAAACCACCTGGAAAGAACTTCAACATAGAAATGACACTAAAATCAAGGACAGCTATTATTTATTACTCAAAAACAAATAAAATTCTCCTCATTCTTTGACTATAGAGGCTTAAGGTTGAATCTACGACGAAACTAAAACTCTGCTTTTAGACTCCTCCTACTGAACAACTTGGTCACCTGGCAACAACTAACGACTTAATTAAGTTATAAACTATTAATAATATCTGCTCTGAGTTTCTCTCATTAGTGGAACGTCATTAAATCTGTAGATCAGTGGCGTCCAGATTCAGTCCTAACGGCTGCTATCCGCCATGATGGATGAAAAACAGCAACAGAGGATTAAAAAGCTGAGCTGAAACAAAAATACTCAAAGTAAAGTAAAGGAAAAAAGTACTTAAGTACATCAATCAAGTAAATGTACTTTGTTACTTTTGAATAAAGATATAACGGTTACAATAGTGGTGAGTAATTAGGTAACTAGGGGAGCGTTAGCCTAGTGGTCAGAGAAGGTTGCAGTAGCTGGTTGGATCCCCACAGACTGCCTCTCTGGGTCCCTGAGCAAGACCCTTAACCCCACCCTGCTCCCCAAGGGGAGGGGTTATATGCAGAGAGGGAATTTCCTCATTGTGGGACAATAAAGGGATTTACAATAATTGATTCATAACTTCTTCTTTAATGTTAAAAATGTTGTTATCAAAGTGTGCAAATTTAAGTTTAAATTGTTTAATATTAATTGGAGTAATAAAGTAAGAAAATATTAAGAAATAACATGATTACAACATTTCCAAATTCAGGCAGAAGGAATAATTTTCAAATAAATGTTTTAATCTAAACCTATAAAACTAATATTTACAGTATTATTTATAATATTTACAATATTTTCAGAAAAGATAAAGAACAATAACTAGATTTTCAGCTGATATCTAAATATCAACTCAAGATTATTACTGAAGTAAAAGTAAATTTATACATAGAATTTATAAATCATATGTATTGATTATAATCTATTTAATTTTATCTGTATTTCGATCAAATCAAATTGTCTTTACATTTGTTAGTTCTATAATTCTGTCTATCAGTTCATGCGGGTAAATTAATAACTGCTGGAACAGAATCATTCCTGATAATCTGATCAAATATTATTTTTATAATTGCAAACATTAAAGAGTATGTTGCCATCCGTGCTACAGGAAGTAAAAACTTCAGGTGTTTCCCCACCTGTGACCTGCTGAACGGCGCACCAGGAGTTTCCCACCATGATGGAAGCATTTCCCAGTCTGAATCCGGTCCCAGTGATGGTGAGCAGGGTTCCCAGTCCGTCGGATCCTGGAACGATTGGCTGCAGTTAGAGGTTCTGTCCCGGTTCCTCTCAGCTGCAGCTTTTTAAACAAAAATCTACCTGAAGGAACATTTATAAAATGGACCAGAAGCAGCTTATTGCTGAGAAAAAATCTGAGCTTCTGGAAAATTCCTTAAA